GATAGCGCATATATATGCTCTTAATCTCTTGAGTTTTGAATAAAATTTATTTCATAGTTAAAAGGCTCCAAAATTAATCAATTCAAGGTTTTTTAGTACAACACGTTGAATAGGGGATTCGAACTCACAACTTCTTGGTGTGAGGTACATGTCAATTGCTGAGCTAAGCTCGCTTTAGCAATCAATTCAAAGTTTGTTTTTATTAGGAATCAATAGTGCACATTTCCACGATGATAATTTGTATGAAATTGTTCACTTTGACATAAGTTATCATGATTTTGCTTTTAATTTCACCCAAAAAGATAATTGTCTTATACTTATAAATCTCATGGATCTTCCCTTTTTCCTAGATAGATTTTTAAACTTTTAAATCAATGAGTTACTAAAAATTTAAAAAGTATCAATAAGTTTTCGAACTTTCAATTTTATGTCTAATAGATCCAAACATCTTTTTTTAACATAATCGAAACACCTTTTTAAGTAAATAGAACTATTAAACACTTTATATATAGATATTAAATTGTTTAAAAAATATATGTAGATATTAAAAGTGTCATAACTTTAAAAGCTAGTATAAATATTTATTATTAAATATAGTTTTTTTGTTAGTACAACATGTAAGAGTTGGAGATCGAACCTAGGATATTTTGGTTGGAGAATTATTGTTGTGATATGCTCGTTTTAATTTTAAAATTTGAAGAACTAAATTTGTAATTTTACCGAGTCGAGTCATAATGTAGGAGAGAACGAGGAGGAGATATATTTAAATAATTGATGGAGGGTTGGGAGGTAGGGAAAGCATCCCAACCCCTACACATATTGACAGAAAATAAAAGGTTTTATTGAGTAGAAAGATTGAGAAGGGAAATGAAAGAATTTGGAAGAAGAAAAAAAGGAACCCCACAGTACAAAACAAAACATAATAATAGTGGAAGAAGGAAGCAAATATTGCACACAAACAACAGAAAAAGAAAAAAGAGAAGAATAGAAGAGATACTCTCCAAGTCGTTTCCAGCTAACTCTCTTGACATCGACCCCCAACCAACCCCTTTCGTCTCCGTGTGTTAATATATCTATAAATGATTAAATTTATTACAATTATTGAATTATTTTTTGGATCGTTCGATAATTTAATATAGTATCAGAGTTTAATTAAATTAAATTTTTGGATTGATGAGTGATTTGAACACATTCTTTCTCTCTTCCTAATTTATATATAAAAAAACTCAGTACCGGTGAAAATTATTATTGAAAATTTGAGTTTATTATTTTTTTAAAAAAATACTTGACTCTTTTGACGTTATTTTGACCACCATTAAAAAATTACCACCTCACTAGCTATTTAAAAAGAAAAATCTATATTTTTACCTTTCTTTAGTTGTCAACATTGAACACTTAATAAAAATACTTAAAGTGATCACAATTATCTCTATCTTCTGGATCATTCAAAATTTAATATGTAATAAATTTAAAAACAATTATATATATTTTTTTTTATTTCTCCCTTCTAATTATCAAATATTTAATGGAATGAGTACGCAAAATAAATGTTACTGTGCTTTCCCTCAATCTAAACTTCACGTAAAAAATTTAATAACTCATTATTTTTTTAAAAAAAATTATACTTTTACATTTTTCTCTCTTAATGTAAAATTATTTTTCTCTCTGTAAAATTAAGACAATACAAAATTGTAAGGAGCTAGCATTTTCGACTTGAGTGAATCTAAAATATTTTTCTTATATATATATATATATATATAATTCCGGCCATGCAATTCCATATCACTCATTTAATTCTCGATCATCATGAACTACGGCAAGCTCCACTCCACCAGCTCCGGCGACACGCCGGCCAACTTCGAACTATCCAATTCCAATTCATCCATTTCCTCCCCCAACCGGCGGACAAGAACAAGAGTTGTTCTTCTCTCCTTGCTCTCCATCCTCCTCATCATGGCCTCTGCCATCTCTGCCGTCGTCTTTGTCCGCTCTCACATTGGCCGCGGCGGTGAGAGCGGCCTCGGGCTGGCTCACAAGCCGAGCCAGGCCATCTCCCGGGCGTGCAGTCGCACCCTGTACCCGGCCGTGTGCGTGTCGTCGCTGGTGGAGTTCCCCGGCGCGCTCGCCGCCGACGTCCACGACCTGGTTCACATCTCCCTGAATGTGACTCTGCAGCGTCTCACAAAGGCCCTCTACTCCTCCTCACAAATTCCCGTCTCCCAAATCTCCGACCCCCTCCTCCTCTCCGCCTTCGCCGACTGCATCGAGCTTCTCGACGACGCCGTCGACGCCTTCTCCCGCTCTCTCTTCTCCACCGCCGCCTCCAATCACGACGTCCTCACTTGGCTCAGCGCCGCCTTGACTTATCACGACACGTGTACCGAGGGCCTTGCTGACGTCAGCGCCGGCCAGGTCAAGGATCAGATGACTGCCAAGCTGGCCGACTTGTCGCAGCTGATTAGTAACTCGTTGGCCATATTTTCCGGGTTCGGCGGCGGGACGGGTGAGTTCTCCGGTGTGCCCGTACAGAACAGGCGGCGGCTGATGGAGGCGGAGTGGCCGCAGGAGAATGGCGGAGAGGAGTTTCCGGAATGGGTCAGCCGGAAGGATAGGCAACTTCTGGGTTCTCCGATTTCGGCGATCCAAGCCGATATCGTCGTCGCCAAGGACGGCACCGGGAAGTACAAGACCGTCGCGGAGGCCATCGCGGCGGCTCCGTCGTCCAGTGGCCGCCGTACGGTCATCTACGTCAAGGCTGGAAAGTAATTCACTTTACCTTTTTAATATTCAAAATTTTTAATTAAATAGTATTTTTAAAAATAGAAGAAAATGCTTAGCTGCTTAATAAGTAATTTCTTTCTTACCATGGAATATGTGACGATTCGTTATTTTGAACCGTCAAATATTTAGTAGCAGCATTGAGGGAAAGTTATTCTTAACTAGTAATGGAGCTAAAGTAATTTCTTTTAAATGTTTAAAAATTAGAGTGGGTCGTTTTGAGTTTTTATTCAACACTTTAATGATTATTAATCAATTAATTCAACTTTTTTTTTGCTTGGGAAATTAAGAAAGAAAATGGTTGTGATTAGGCCATAATTAATCTTCTCAAGTCCAATTAAAGTTTCTTTTAAACAACTTTTTTATGATGTTTTATTCATTGACTTCAGTGTCGTAATCATGCAAAGCTGTTAATTTGTGCGGTACCATAGTCGTCCATTTTTCATAATAATTATTTAATAACCAAAACTATATAATAATGTCACTTCATATATTAATTTAAGGTCATTTTCAGTTTTGTTGCTCTCCTACTAAATACATTCAATTTAATATATGATAATTAAAATTAGTCCAATTTCTTATTCGTATGAGATTTTAAAAATAGATGTGAAGTTCGTACTAAATACAAGATCGTTCTTTTTTTCTTTAAGTTTAATTGAGTTATACTCATATTAACATATAAATCGTTTATCGATCAATCACAAGTGTTACGGGGCGACATTTTAGGAGAAATATTTTGCATTTGATAATAATTGAAATTGGGATGGGATCAAGGAGGGAGATTAACGTAATTTGGCAGGTACGTAGAGGAGAATTTGAAGGTGGGAAGGAAGAAAACAAACTTGATGTTCGTGGGAGATGGGAAGGGCATAACCGTCATTTCAGGTGGAAAAAGTGTTTTTGACAAAGTTACCACTTTTCGCACCGCCACCTTTGGTATATACTCTCCCTCTCTTTTTCCTTTTTTTTTTTCTTTTTTATTCCCAACTCTTTTTTTCTTTCAATTTTTGGACATAAATAAATAAAAGATGACGTGTCCAGGAAAAAACCCTCTCCTTCTGACACCGGATATCTAGGACTGACTTGGTCATAAAACCAAATGTGGCCATGCCATTGCCCACCACTTTTACATATAATTTTTAGCTTATATATTTTAGTCATATTTCAAAGTTTTTGTATGTCATTTTATCATCTGTTATCTAACAAATAAATAATTTGAGTTTCTATATGTTCGCTAATGTACGTGTTGGTATTAGAGTCACGTAGAGGTTGATTTTTATAGATTTTGAGTGAGAGAATTTTAATAGTAAGTATTAAAAAATATATATTTTTAAAGTTATTATTATAAATTTTAGAAGCAATGACAATGACTTTGTATATATTAATTTATCCTTTTTAGATGCATATTTTTTATGGCAGAGAAAAAACATAATAATTAGAGATTAAAAAGAAAAAGAAAAAATATATATATATAGGGAAGATGGTGACAAATTAAGCTACTTTTGTAGCATTTATTGGGCTACAAAAATAATTGTGGGATTTATCCAAATAATCATATGAGAAAGAGTAGATTCCAGCTGTGTTTGCCAACTGCCATATATCAATGCATCATTATTTTTGTAGGGGGAAAAAATATGCCCACCATCATAATTCAAAAATTAGATTATGTGGTGCATTTACTAGTAAAGTGGTCTCACTAATTAAATTTTATACTTTTAATTATATGACTTACTTACGCTTCCGTACTCTAATAACATTATAAAAATTTATCATCTTTGAAAAATACGTGATAGATGGTACCATATAATAATTAAGCAAGTTTTATATATTAGTTGGTTGCTATTACGAGTAATAATTTTGTATAACTTTATTATAAATAATATTATAGGGAAGATTTAGAAATAGGTCCCAGTAAATAATTATTATTATCATAAGACTAGAAATTTTTAGAAAGGGGGAGGAATTAAATAAAGATGGATGAAGTAGGAAGGATTTTGATGTGTGACAAAAATAAAAGCATGGAATCTCACAATCATTCATGGTGATTTTGATAATACATAGTATTCAATATTCTTGCATCATGCTTACATTGATATATATTTTCCTTTTCTCTCATTGGAATCTATTGTGGTCCCATCAGAGATTATTAGTTAAAATACTCGTCTCTGAATTTTGAAATATTTAAATAAAGAAAAAATTTGGCTCCTGTGATGCTCCCTCAGTGGCCTTACAAAAACAAGACAAGTGTTGGTTGTTGTTTTTTTTTAATAATTATTTTATTAAATCTTGATAATTATAATCTCATCAAAATCTTCTGAAATCTTCCCCTTGAATTCATTTTTTAGATTGGTTGGACAACCTTTCTCCCATTTCTCTCTCTTTGTACAACTTCTCATTCCCTTCTTTTTCTCTATCTTCTTCATTTTCTTCTCAACTTGAAGAAGAGGAGTGTAACCACATTTTTTTTCAATTTTTTTATCTCCATTTTGTTTTTAAACTTTATGCAACTCAAGTTTATCGAATTTACTATATTCTAATTTTAGAGGGAGGCTTTCTGCAATTTATTGTTCATAGTTTTAGGGAGGGAGAAAAAATGGGAAAATCGTCCAACTAATAAAAAAAACAACTCAGAGAGTGTTTGAGAGATTTTGATGAGATTATAAGATTTAATAAAATGATTAAAAAAAGCAACAACCAACGTTGTTTTGTTTTTCAGTATAATTAGCTAGTGTAGTGGTAAATTTATTATTTAAATGTTGATGCGAGCAGCGGCTTCTGGGACGGGGATCATTCTTCGTGACATGACATTCGAGAACACAGCAGGGCCGGGAAGGCACCAAGCGGTGGCGCTGCGTGTGAGTGCGGACCACGCGGTCGTGTTTCGGTGTAACATCATTGGGTACCAGGACACTCTCTATGTACACTCCAATCGACAATTTTACCGCGAGTGTGACATATATGGTACTGTAGATTTCATCTTCGGAAACGCCGTAGTGGTGTTCCAAAGCTGCAACATCTACGCTCGAAAGCCGATGCCCGGCCAGAAGAACACTATAACCGCCCAAGATCGGAAGGACCCGAACCAAAACACCGGTATCTCCATCCACGCCTGCAAGATTCTTGCAGCATCTGATCTGGAAGGTTCCAAAGGTAGTTATCCGACGTTCTTGGGGAGGCCGTGGAAATTATACTCTAGGGTAGTCTACATGGTATCATCCATGGGTGACCACATCCACCCGCGGGGCTGGCTCGAGTGGCAGGGCTCCTTCGCGCTCGATACTTTATACTACGGTGAGTACATGAATTCTGGACCTGGTGCAGCGGTCGGGCAACGGGTCAAGTGGCCGGGTTATCGGGTCATAACGTCCACCGTTGAAGCGGGCAAGTTCACGGTTGGGCAGTTTATATACGGCTCCGCTTGGCTGCCGTCCACCGGCGTGTCATTCTCCGCCGGCTTATCTGCTAGCTAAAAACAAAAAAAAAAAATAATTTTACTTGGGAGTGACTGGTGAGTGTATTTAAATAATTACAAAATTGTTTTTATTTTTAGGACGTGGATGATGATGACACGTGTACAACCTCATTCCTTTGATCAAAATAAAGATAAAAATGTGGGCCCCAGAATTAGGGTGTTTAAGGGAGGGATCATATATATTATATTTTTATATTGTGATTGTATTTGTACCAACATTATATATTTTGAAAAGATAATAATTGGTTTTTTCTTTTTAATCTAATTATATATGTCCTTTTAAATGTTTCTACTTTTTAGATTATGATAAATATAGCATCGATAGATATATATACTGATCATCACAAATTAGCGTGTGCTATTATGTTACTTTTCATATTTGTCGTCATCTTATTTGAATTGTCAATTCTATAAAGTTCACGTTGTATAATTAATATTTTTAAGTTGATTCATCATTTGTAAAGTAAATTCATAGTCTATATGTCGGCTAGATCTGATTGGTCAACAACAAGTTCAACTGATGCTTTATTGTTAATCCAATATTATACTCATACGTGAGGATGTAAGATGTTGTTGATGGGACGAATTATATATATTTGACAAATTGAGTGAGCGGGAATTCATGAATTCGAAATTTGAACAAATATCTTAAATCAACTCAAACTTTGTTTGTTTGTTTGAGTACAACATGTGGAGGATGAGGATATTGAACTTACAGCATCTTTGTTGGAGATATATGTCAATTACCGCTAAGAAATGCTTGTTTTGATTCAAATTTTGTTCCACTCTCGTATTAGTTTCTAAACTTTCAAAATTATTCTATTTTAAAACCTAAACTTGAAAAGAAAATAAAGCTGTGATAATTGTTAAACAAACATCAACTACACGTTAATTATCAAAATGAGATTTAAACCGAAAAAGACTCATTTAATATGTTGGAAATTGAAAAGATGAAGGATTGTATTGATGATTAGTTTTGTGAGAGAGGATAATAGTGTCATTTCATATGTTGGAAATTGAGCTTATCCATTGGTGTTAGTGTTGGGTTGGTGGGTACACAAGTGGGGTTTTTTTTTTTTCTTTTTATTTATTTTTAATTGTTTTTGGTTGATAGTGATAAGTGCAAAATTGCAAATGGAATATCACTTATGAAATTATTATAATGATAATAATGATATAAAAACTTTTTTTTAAAAAAAAAAAACCCTTTCAATTTCTTCATTACCGTCGGCAGGGCTAAAGGACCCAATAATGAATAATTTCAATGTCTTCGTCACAACCCCTAACCCACATCTTCCCTTCCATCATTTATTTTTCTTTTTTCTTTTTTCTTTTCTAAAATAAATTAATGTTTTAAAAAATCGATCGCCATGCTTCGTAACGATAGCACGGTTTTGGATCGAGGATGCATTTATTATTTAAGAGTGATTTTTGTAATTTATTTTTCCATAGTGTTAGGATGAAAATTATGTTTTTCATCTTCTCATACTTCTATCATTTTTTGCCTATCTACAAGCAACATGGACATTTTTCATAGGCTGATATAGATACAAAGAATATAAATAAAAAAGAAGTAGCTATGGAAAAAAGCATTAGCTTGCGTAAGATTCAAAAAACTTGATTTAGAACGACTCTTTCGTGATAGTATTAGTGATACTTTCACGGTATAGCTAATAATGATTTACTTTATTCCCTTTTCATTTTTAATCACCTTGTCATTAGAGATGAAAAGACTAATCCATTAATTAGGATTGAGGATGGATTGAGGATACGCTCTCTATTTGCTTTCGATGTGTCAACTTTTTATATACGATGTTTTTATCTATCAATATAAATGGAGAATGCATTTTTTGTTTCTAATTTTTCTTTTGCAAAAATATCTTTTCTTCTTTTTCACCCATGTTCTCTTTATGATCTATAGTTGACATGTTGCCTCGTAGATGTGTTTTGTTTTGGTTTGTGTTTTTGTAACCTATTAGTAGAAATGAGAAAAGATCATGTTGGATCAAAAATAAAATTCTCCATCTCCTTTTCTTATAGCAATTTTCATTTCTTTTTCCATTAGACTATAAGAGACTGATGGAAAAAAAATTAAAAACATATTTAGTTCATATATTTTCGTTAAAGTAGTGATTTAGTCCCTAAATTTTAGTTTCTAATGACTTAGTCCATATACTTTCAAATTAGTAACAATTCAATTAGTCTCTCAACTTTGGTGTGTAACAATTTAGCTCAATTAAAGTTTGTAATGACTTAGCCCCTATCATGAAATTTTTTTGTTAAGTTTATTACATATGTAGAATGATAAATCAACGAGAGACCAAATTGAGCATATACCTCCAAAAATCAACGAGAGACCAAATGTGTTTATAAAATATAATGACTAATCATTATATAATAAAAACTTGACACTTTCGATAAGATTTTTTACGATAAGAACTAAATTGTTACAAATTGTAAATTATAGGAATTAAATTACTACATACTAAAGTTTAAGAACTAAATTGTTATCAATTTGAAAATACAAAGATTAAATCATTACAGACTAAAGTTTAGGAACTATATCATTAATTTAGTGAAAGTACAAAGGATAATGCCAAATATATATATAATATATTTAAAAAAAAAAAAAAAGGCGGTGGGGAATCTGCAAAAGCTCCCTAAGAATCTGCTACAATCAAGTCTCAAATCTTCAATTTGACCAACTAGCCCTCAAACTTCCGAAGTCATGGACATTAAACTTGTCGTTAGTGCCCATCCCTATATGTTGTAGTTGTACTAAGACCAAAAACCTTGTTGTTAGTGACATTATAAAAGAAGTCGTGAGTTCAAATCCTATCCTAAACTAAAAAAGAAAAAATAATAAAAATAAATAAATTATTGTGAAAATCGCTTTTTTAAAAACCAAATCAAGTGCCCAACCAAAAATCTATGGTTGGACCATTCGGTTATTAGAAAATCTATTTTGCCATAAATATTTTTGTTTTCTTGAATAGATGATTTTGGCAAAGATTCAATATAATCTGACCCACTTATAACCCTACCTCAAACACACATCTTTGCTTGATGAAATTATAACTTGCTTGGTATTATAGTTTAATATTGAGGTTATTGGATTTAAAATGACATTTTTATGATTAATATTATAGTTTTTAAATTAAATTGTAACAATTCTATAGTTTGATTGTAATAATCTTAATTCGGAGGTAGTTTGTGCAAATTTGTTGCAACTAATGCTAACTATTTCATAACTTTGGGAGATGACCAATTTTCAAATCCATGAAAAGTTCTTATTCATAGGGATGCAAGTGTTAGAGTTTATGGGTGCTTCATGCAATTTTTCTTAAAATAAATAAGAGCAATAGGCTTCAGTCTTCATAATTTGAATATTATATATGTTATTTAGATATTGAACTTAACAAAAATTATGTTATTAAACTTATGTTTCTGTTTAATTATTATCATGATGCGACATGTCCATTAACTTATCACATCAACATTCCACTAATTAGCTCAAACTAAATAAGAGTTAGACAAAATTGAAGATTTTAAAGTTTAAGAACTAAGGACAAAATTTGAAAATAAAATTAAAAAAAGGGACAAATCAGATCAAGAGGGGTGATTTCCATTCTGTACAAATCCAAGAAAGAAACTAAACTATCATATAATATTTCACATAGAAAAAAAAAACAAACAAACAAACAAAAACTATGGGGGTTCAGAGGATTAAGCATCATTTATTTCAAAAGCACTAATAAATAGCAACCAACAAAGATTATGAACAGAGAGAAGATTACCTCTCACAAGTTCCTCTGAATGAATTCCCAGATTCTTTCTTCCATGTAGATCCGATCTCGGTGTTGTCGAGGCATGTGCCGTTCGTCTGGAAATATCAGTAGCTCGTACGTCTTTCCAGCCGATATGAGCGAATTCACAAGCCTTGCAGTGTGCCTGAAGTGCACATTCTCATCAATCATTCCATGCACAAGCAACAGCCTCCCGGCCATCTTGTCTATATGATGCATCACTGACCCGCGCTCGTAAACTTCTCGATTCCCAGACGGTAATCCCAAGTACTTTTCTGTGTAGAATGTATCGTACCCATCCCAGGATGTAACAGGGGCACCAGATATAGCACATCGAAAGACATCTGGAAACCGCGCCAAGCATATTGCAGAGAGGTAGCCACCATAGCTCCATCCATATAAACCAATCTCCCCAGCCCTTGCTAAACCTTGTCTGATGAGCCATTTCGCTCCAATCAATTGATCGTCTGCGTCAATACGGCCGACGTTATATTTTAGAGAAGCTTCAAACTTCAGTCCACGTCGAGCAGATCCTCTGTTGTCTAACTGCAACCAGCAAACCATTCAAAATGGCATCAGACAAGAAATTCACAGCATATTTGGATCAAAATCTATAGTATGAACACATATTAGACTCTCTTACTGAATGTTCAAAGAATAAAAACTAATGATCAACAGTTTTTGAACAACACAAACACAGACAAACTAACTCGAGCAAGAGTTGAAGCTGCAGTCCTAATGTTATTCGTCTACACGTACATGAAGTCCTAATCTAGAATCCGGTATGAACATGGTCAGGGCATTAAAGATCAATAAGACCGAGATTTACAATTTTTGCATGGCATCCAACACATCGGAATCGTTCGGCTTTGATAGAAAGAAAAATCAGGCAAAGAAAATAAATGAATAAGCACCAACCTTCCACACTAAGATTCCTCTACTACGCAGATATTGAGCTCTCATGTCGACTGTGTTTATCCATGAATCACAGACTAGCTGTACACTCGGACCACCATACACGATGATCATAGTTTTGTATGGTGGCAGTCCGAATATCGTCTCATTAGGCTTATATAAAGCTCCATATAGCAATGTCCCATCACTGGCCTGCACCTCGACAATCTTTGGAGGCTCAAGATGAAGGCTTTCAATACTTGGAATTGTAAATGTTTGCTCGTAAAGTGGCAAAATGACACTTCCATCTTTCAAGGAGCAGAGCAACACCCTTGGAGGAGAATCAAGGGAATCGTGAATGTCAATAAAACTTCCCATACGATGATCAAGTACAACCACATGTTTCCCTTTGCCATGAGTCATTCTTACTGGTGGCTCCAAGGGTGTGTTCCCAGCAGCAACTAGTTTGGTACAGTAAAGGTGAGACTCAAGAGGCCCGTCAAGAGTTCCGGTAAAATAAACAAGCCCGGTTGCCTCGTTTACACCAGCAATTTGTTCGACCATCCAGTCGCCTTCAGTAATCTGCCCCAGGCATGTTCCATGACCATCATGCAGATAAAGATGTCTAAATCCAGTTTTTTCACTAGCCCATATAAATCCCCCAGAATATTTACTGATACTTTTGTCTAATGGTGTGAAACAATCATGTAAGTTAACCCATGAATCTTGTTCTTCTACCAGCAAAACTTTTCTCTGGCCTGTCTTGATATCAAACTTGACAATTTTCAGCTTGGTATGTAACCTATTTAGAATCTGAGCGATGAGAATGTTTTCATGCATCCAACTGACTCGGGCCAGATATTCCTCCTCCTCCATCTCTCCACAAAGAAGATCCATCCAAGTAATCGAGCCTCCAGCAACGGATACCACGCCAAGACGAACAACAGCATTGGAAGTTCCTGCAAATGAATAAGCATGGTCTTCTTGTGCATCCGGATGACCAACCGAGCTTTTTCCTTGATGCATGATTCTAAAAAGAGGAATCTTTGAGGTATCGACTTGTGTAAATGCAATAAATTTGCTGTCTAGTGACCACCAGTACCCATTTTTCCGATCCATTTCCTCCTGAAAAAGCAAACATTCATAAAAATGTGAGATACATCTAAATGCAATATCGGAAAAACAAGATAAGGCATCATTGAAGCTTGCTGATTATTTCTACTCTCTTTCGATATTGAAAAATTCACTTCCTTTGGCTCCCAAGCAGGAATAATTCGAAGAAGCCGTGTGAAAAACAGATGTCGGTGTCCTCACCTCAGCTATATATTCTGCAATGCCATGCTGCAGTTTGGAAAAAAACGCAAGTGTCAAATTCTAGCCTCTAGGGAGGAAGTAGTGTTAATAAGCTTAATTTTTAAAAATAGATAACAAAAAAACAAAATGGTCATCAGATGGGCCAAAACTTTATATAATAATTAATACCATCTCATACCAATCTAGATAAAAATTGCAGTTAAATGATAAACTTCTTCAACCAAGATGCCAAATGAAACATAACCAGATTCCTTTTCCTCTTATAATAATTTAATATCTATCTAAAAGCAAATTCTTACAACTTTTGACAGGAAGAATCAAAGACATCAAGACAATGGTAACAGGAAAAATTTATATTGCTAATTACTAAATAGTAAGAACTAAAAATGAAGCTATCAATAAGAAAGCACAGATGAAGGGTGGTAAAGAATATGAAAATATAACCAAGCTCTAGGATTCTACATCATAAACATCAACTCACGTCCGATTTACTACGATAATTAGCCAGACAAAAGCAGAAAGATGACGGAATAGGCTTCAAAAGAAAATTAGAGTTCATGGAGAATGACATATTTACCACAATGTTTTGGTTAGCACCAACAGTCAACTGTCTCACTTCAGTGTTTGATAGATTCATGACATGAAGCTCTCCGTCTCTCACGAAAGCAAGCATGGACCCATCTGGTGAAAGATGTGGGTCCATGATTGGTGAAGAGGGTTTACTTGAAAGCTTAAGCTCTGGTGTTGAGCCAAGAAAATCTTGAATATAAATCTGCACTACGAAAGGAATGTCAAGTACATGGATATTTAAACATACCAAGTTGTGGTGCTTGTAAGTATTAAAGAATGAATGGTTCATTATCATTATGTTTCAATATATCCCTAGAACAAGAACTAGAAGGGCATCTTGATACGAAATATTAGTAGAAAACTGACATGAAAAGTCAGAGATAAAAGAGCTAACCCCAGCAGGCAAAGGCACCATAATTGCTTTCCTTTTGGTGCTTGATTTGACCCATTCATACCGTGTTACTCCCAAACCACGTTCCCTCAATCTTTCTCTCCTCAATTTTTCTTCTGGTGAAATGTTACACTCATCCAGCCCACCATCAGGAGGACTGAAAATCAACTCCTGTATGGAAGTTTTGATATCGAAAGCAAAAACCTTCTTATTCAAGGAACAATCGGGACTAAACAAGTAAGTGACTGAACTATCATCTGGACTGAAAGTTATCGAAGTGGGCGCAACATATCCTGGTAGTGGATATTGTACAATCTCTTCAACTGGGAAAAGGAAAGAATCATCCAAACTCTGTGCAACACTCGAGTCAGTGACAGTCATGTTGTACGGAAGTGGCCTTGAACGTTTCAGATTCTTTTGCTTCCTGTCCTCGTCAACTGATTGTGTTACACCGAACATACTGGATTACAACCAAACTGAACCTTACCAAAAGAAAGAAAGAAAGAAAGAAGAAACAAATAATCTAATAAAATGCCAGTTGAACTGACGTAAGTAAATATGTTTTGCTTTTGACTATATTTGGTCAGTGAAAATGATATATAATGAAAAGAAAGAAACACATTCTTTTTTATTTTGTATTCAAATGATATGAAAGGATCCATACATCAATCAGAAGAATGAGAGAAGCAAATGGGGGAGAGAGAAAGATTGAAAGAATGCCTGATTGATACAGGGAAGCAAAAGAAGAAGGCTGAAATGAATCTTCAGATTCGAAATCAAATATAAGGACCCTAAAGAGGATTAAAACACAGTTTGCCCAATATCAGATACAAAACTACCTAGTCATTTTAAACTGTGATTTCGTAGAGCTAAAGATTATCTTGATACTTAGCTTCAAAGCAGAACTTTTAAAACTAAAAGCAGCAGAAGGAATCAAGTAAAGTTCAAAATGGATAAACTTTTAGTTGTTACTCATGTTAGTTACCAACTAATGGGGCAAAAATCACATGATAGTGCAAACCAAAAATTTACAGAAATTTCAATAAGATACCTTTCCAAAATTCGGTTTTAGATGGAACATGATTCTCCACAACCTATGACAAAATTAAAACAAATGGAAAGTTAAAGATTTGTAGTCCCTAAACTTCTGACTTCCTCAACAGCCAAAGTAAGGTAAAAGAAAAACAAAATGAATGGCTTTAACGATCAAATTATTACATTTTAAGAAGCTTCAAGAGTCAAAAATGGGTTAAGAGATCATCCACTGGATCCAATCACATGCGGTGAAAGTTTCACCCAACACTTTTTTCAGTGGGAACAAAATCCACGACGAATAAGAATCTTTGGAATGAATGACAAAAATCAGAAACCCAACATCACTTTTTCATCAAGGCCTCGATTCGAACCAATCGATCAGCAGACCTGAGAAGCAAATCGAAAATGATCAGACAGACCTGAGATGAGAATTAAGATTCCAGACTCAAGAATCGGAACTAGATTCAGGGAAAAGAGATCGGAAACTGAGATATTTTGCTTTGGGGATATACGTTTGACTAAGCCGAATTGAGAACCTACGATTCGTGGAACAACAAGATACCCATGATTGTAATCAGTGAAAAGCTTCAAAGTATTACACGAAAGAAGAAGAAAAAGCACACAAATCCACAGGAACTAGTAAACGCACAGCGTAAGTGAAAATGACGCACACGACTTTGAGAACAGAGAGAAATTCAGAGAAAAGAGAAACAGAAAGTGAAGAAAATGGTCAATTGGAATCCCAAAATTGATTCGTGGGAAAGAGGGGTTTGTGGTTGTGGGTTGCTGCAGAGAAGCAAGAATTAAGGATCATCATGGCCATGGCGATTGGTAAATGAAAAATAAGCTCATAAATCCTCCACTAACCTCTCTTTTAAGTCTCTTTCTGATTACCCATTATCTGATTATCCATCTTAATCACAAGATATAGAAAATTTCTGTCTCTGTGTTTCCTCTCTCAGGTCATACAGAATACAAAAAGAGGCGAAATTTCCAACAAGTTTTGCTTCAAAGGAAAAGAAACGACACTAGGGAAGGAGGAGAGAACTAGAGTAACAAGAAAGAGTGATTGTTTTTCCTTTTTTTTTTTTCCTTTTAAATCTTTTGCTTTCTTCCATTTTATATAAATAGCAATTTCATGAGAAGTTTTAATTTGTCCTTTCTTTATTTTTTCTTGAAGATAATTAAGGGGTCATTGGAGAACTTTCTTCTCTCTCTTGGGTCAAAAAAAATATTATATACAAACAAGATGCGTATTTCATATGATTTTATATGTACATACATTCCACGTCATCGACATGAGAAGTTAAATGACACGTGTATAATATTGTTAAAAAAAATGTACTAACAAAATATATATAGCATTTCAATAAAAAAAATAGATATAGTATTTATAATAATAATTTGAAATTTATTTTGAAAGGGTGATATTTGTCTTTTTCATTTTTTCTTGAAGATAATTAAGTGGTCTTTGGTGGCCTTTCTTCTCTCTTTTCCGTAATATCGTAAAAAGAAAATGTACCAAAATATTGCTAATATATGCCTAATATTTATAATAATAATTTATAAAATTTATTTTAAAAGATAAAATATCTTTTTTAATTTATATATTTTTTTATTTTATCATTCTCTCAGAAATATTTATCAACATCAATATTTTCATAAAAGGGAGATATCAACATTAATATTTAAAACCATGGGCTAAATTACCTGCATTACATATCTAAAAAGGTTGGTAAATTAATATTAGATTATTGTGAATTTAGTTATAATGGCTAAAATAGATATACTATTCAAATTTGCATAATTTTATTTATTGATAATTTATAAATTTTTTACATATAAATTTTTCTTTTATTATTTCTTTTATCAATTGTTTAATATATGGGTGATTTTTTTTTTCTCTTTTGAAACCATGAGTAATTCGATTTTGCATGTGGGTATGTATTTGTTTTTATCAAAAAAAACATTACATTAAAAAAAAAGGACCACTGAGGGTTACATCAAAAGATGGTGCCAACACAACTATTCCAAGGGACGGAAAAACGATCATTACATTTGGCCAATAAAACAGATTTCCTGTTCAAAAACTAGAAATATGAACAGATTTTAGCACACTGAACACTTTCTCCAAATTCACAACATACTCCTATTTAGGATTTGAAGGGAAATAATTGCCTACAAAGTTGTCTTATTCTCCACCATGATAGGTAAGGAAATATTAGGTAAATTCCTCAAATCATACTAGTCACGGATCTCAATACAAGTAACACTGATAGCTTCCACAGATTCCAATAATGGTGTTTGAGCCGACCGCTGCCACACCTCCATTGTTGCCCACCTCTGAACTATGGAAGTTTTCCTAAGAATGCAATGAAGATGAGGAGTCGTCCCAAGAGATCATAGGCAAGAGCCCTCTCCAATTTTGTGCTTGGTAATTCTTCAAAATGTCCCAGTGACGAAACCATGGACCATACATAACAACGTCAGCTTTGATTTTGTCAGCCGCAACAACATTATCAGCATCCAACGGGGAGATCCCCAACACTTGGGCACCGTCCCCCATCATAGAAACTAGCGAGAAAGAAAGATCCTCTTTGAAAGTCGCCTTTACAACAGTAAGAGAGGTCCCTATAATATCTCGATCCATGCTACTTACCACTTGAAAGAGACCACGAAAAAACTGTAACAAAACAAAGAGGAACACCCTCTGGAAGAAGGTTAGCCAGAGGACTGATTCACGGGGAGAAAAAGGAGAGGAGGGGAGTCGGCCACTAGCCACCCCCTCCCACTTTTTTCGCTCTCATTGAAAAACCTCAATATTCGGAGAAGAGAGAAATTATTCAATGTGGGTATATATTGAAGTATGATAATAAGTGAAGCAGATGGATAATGTGACAACAAAGACCTATGATATAAATTTGATAACTCACTAGGAATATGAAATTATACAATCCAACACATCTTCACAGCCCAACAAAGCTGTGCCACATGGATTAAAACTTGTACATTCCTTTATAATTTATTACAATTATATGTTTCATATTCTCATCAAATCTATACAATACACATTTCCATGGGTGAAGAACAAAAACTTCACAATTTGTAAACTTCTTCATTTTTTTGGAATTTTTAATATCATTTATTTAGAAATCTTAAGTAATGATAGAGTACTTGATTTTTCTTTTTTGAGTTCAAACTATTGCATTGATGGTATCAAAATAAGAGGATTGAATAGATATCCGCTCAAGACCTATCCATCATGTTATCATGATATAGATCGTCTTAAATTGACAATGATAAATTACTGAATTGAATATTTATTTTGAGGTGAAAATCGAAATATGAGGGTAACACTTGATTTGGGATGGAAGTATGTTTTTATAGATTCATTGTCATCAAGTTATTTTTTATTCTCTCTTTTTCTGAAGGGTTGGGAAAAAAAAAATTAAAAGGGTAGATTTTGAATGGGACAAAATGAGGTCCCACAGCAAATGTTTTGTCAATGAGATGGTATATGCAAGGCCAGGTCAGCTTGACAATATAATGACATTTACAATATTTTTTAACTTTATGAGCATAAGTTTGAAATGATGGAAAAGAAAAACAACCTCAATCATTTAAAAAAAAATTAAGACAAACTAATCAATCAATAAATACTTCAATAAAGATTTAGTTCTAAGCATTAGAATCTATCAAATAAACTATACTCAACAACTTCAATTCTTCTCAGACAAAGATAGTTATCCAAAGACATTTTAATAAAAAAAAGAACTTTTTTTTTTTAATGAAAGCACTTACATTCGCCCCAAGGCCCAAACTCATAAGACATCAAGAATTTTCGTATTAAGCTTACCTAAAGGTTTAAACGAAAGACTTCTCACACTGTCGTACAACTTTTAGTTCTTGAATTTTCAAATTGTATTTAATAAGTCCCTAAACTTTAAAAATCGTCGAATAATTCTTTATTAGATACTTTTAACGTTTCGAAACTCTTTACACACAATCTTCAAAAGTTCAAAGTTCAGAAACGTATAATTTAACCAAAACAACTCTTACATTTAGAGATACTAATAGGGGCCCTTTTTTACTGAGGATAAAGGTGACCAATACAGACCACCACAAATCATCTAAAATACTTCAAGGCAAGAGAACCATTATCTCCTCTGTTAATAACATTAGTTTCAATAAATCTGGACAGAAAGCATTAAAAAATGCCTATTCTAGTGAGGAACAAGAGATCATGCCACAGCCTATTCCATTTCCTTGAAATTCTTCAGTTTCGCCATGAGATAAAATTACCTTACCTCCCAAATGCAATAAGAAGCTTATGCATTTTCACAGTATGTAAATATTGTAGCTGACTGCTCTCACTGTTCCTCTAAGGTTGTTCAGTGGAAGACTTGGTTCTCTGCGGCAAATTTCACCGTGGTGTCAACCTCTCCGGCTTGGCTGAGAGTTGTTGCTGCCATTTCACCATCACAATATCATTCAGAATTGTATCATTGAAACAAAGGTTACAATTCATTAAAACAATGACAGAAAAAAGTTTAAGGATGCGAGCTCCCAAAAGGAGTTATAAGAACAAACAACCAAACCAATAAAGCAGAAGTCCCCAAAAATTACAATCGCAAAAATAAAATATTGAAGAACAAAACATCGACGGTAGAAACAAACAAGCCAAATCATCCCAGAAGAAAAACCGCAAAACTGAAGAGCCGCTGAAGGTAAAACCATATCCGTCTAAATGCAAGACCGGCTCCTAAATCACTTCCCAAAGGATAAAACTCTGGAAGAGAAATTCATGAAGACTCGAGCGAGAGGTCGCTCCAACGCCCTCCAAAACTACTAAAAAACCTACTCAGACAAGGGGCCTGCTGCAAATTCTAATCTGACAGCCAAGGTTTAACGAATTATTCCCTTAGAAAGTTAATGTGGGGTGGTAAGGTGCCAAAGAAAATTAAATTCTTCACATGGTCATTATCTTAAGAGGGCCTAAAATCGCAAGGCAATAATGGAGAATATAAAAAAGAAATCCTCAGTTATCTCTATCTCCTAAATTTTCCATTTCATATAAAAAGATGAACCATTTGTTTATTGAATGACTTTGTTTGCAATGAGGAGGTGGTGTTTCTTTTTTCCCTTTTTTTTAGAACAAGAAACAAGACATATCAAAAGGAAACAAGCTCTGAGGAGGAGCGAAAAGAACAAACAAGGAAAATTCAAAGCTCAAATAAAACTAGCAAATCTGCTGAAAACCAAGGCCGCCAAAAAAGAACAAAAGAAATAACAAAGGCCCTCAAAAAATGCAAACCCAAGAGCCATTAACATTTCCTTCTTGTTTCCTCCTCACTAAATCTGGGGTCCCCTTCTGTTTTCCAAGAGATGCTGCAGATTGGCTAGTGGAGATTCTTTTACGGTGGTAGAACAATAGAGCTAGAGTGCTTCGGAGATATGCTACTAGAGCTCTTAAATGGTCCATTTGCATTGAAAGGAATCATAGCGTTTCACTGACAAACAAAAATCTATAGAGCTGGGATATTGCACAATTTATGGTCTTTGATTGGAGTGCTCTTCACAATCTCTTTTGCAATTTTGAATGTCCCTTACCAACCTTGATTGAGGGTGCTTTTGTAACCTCTTAATTCTTATTGGGCAAGGGGTTCCCCTTCCACTGGCCCCTTTTTATGAATGAAATCGTCCATTTCTTATCAAAAGAAAAATGAACATAAATGATAGGAGATCAATGATTCAGTTAACCATTTGGTAAAACTGCGATCCCTACTCAACAGGGAGAGAGAATATGAAAAAGGGAGAAATACAGATAAGGAGAGTCAAAATCTCAAAGGAGAGATAAATTAAATCCATTTGGCTTGAAATATTGTGCTTTAAGAACATTTAAGTCTTCAGTCTAATCTCTGAATTAGAGGCACGTAAGTTCCTTCCATAAACCAATTATCATAATTCTTTTTTTAAATCTTAGATCTCACCTGAGCTGCATATGATGAGCTTTCAGCCAGGAACTTTAGAAACTCTGCCTTTTTCCTATCAAAACTGAGCTTAGAATTGTCCAGTAATGCTTGTTCCCTCTTTATATCTTCAATCACCTTTTCCTTTTTCCACTTGAGCTCTTTGATCTGCCTCTCAGATTCAATGTAGTTTTCAGGTAGGCTTGATTTCACCGAGGCCTTTGGGAATCTCAACTGAACATCTTCCCTGACATCAGACACGTCAAATCAGTGATTAGTACAAAAGGAAATACAACTTTTCATTGAACAATGAAAATAAATTCACAATCAACAAAATCCTCCGAAAAAATAAGTTCTTACTTTCATGTGTCATTTAAGGCCAAGCCTAGCACTATTAGCACTATTATGCAGTTTCGGGGGATTTTCAGAAAATGATAGATAACACTTCATCCTACTTTTTACCAATATCATTAAAGAAGGAATTGTCACTTGGAAGCTGGAATCTTAAACATTAGAGTAGCGCAAAAATATTAAAGATATTTTATATAATTCGAGAATGGGATTCGGTCCATGGTCCAACCAATATATAGGGCATTCAATTAGATCAACTGACAAAAGGCAATTAACATATAAAAAATAGACTAAATGATTCAAGCAAACTTGAATACGATTTTGAAAGAGAGCTTCATACTGATTGCCTAAGCAAAAAACACCAGTAGCCTTAATTATTCCTCCATCCAAAGAAAGTGCACCATCACTTATGCAAGGGAGAGCTTGCAGCATGTCTGCTCTTGTTTTATATACTTGAAGACGAGAAAATAGGGAATAGAACAGGGTCTCCCTGAGACCATATCCATTGGCTGTGAGACAAAACAAGTGCGTGCTATCTATATTGATCATATTAACAGCAAAGCCAAGAAAGCCAGGTGGGCACTCCCCATTGGGTAACCTTGGCTTTAGAAGGTCAAGCCTCCTTTGTGGATCATTAGCAATAAAACCACCAGCATATGGTCTGCGAAAAATAAGTACTTTTAGAATTCTCACAGTTAAAACAATATATATAAATAAAAATCTCTGAAGAATGTTTACAAACTTAAACTCCAGAATTTCAAACATAGACAGCATGTAAGACTAATGCCTCAAATGTTCTAGACAAATTACGATAAACCGGCCATCCAAGATCCTCCCAATTGAAGCACCAAGACCATGAAGGCCAGAGCTTTTGTTTATGCAACCTTCCCTGTCATATGTTTCTAGCGCCTTAACTCCATCATACGTTCTACAGACAACTGTCAGCATAGTTTGCATTCCCAAGTACTCAGAGAGTAGTCTGCAAACGAAAATTTAAAAAATCACATAAAATTGAGTGCAAAACTATTTATATTCTTTGTTTGATGATTTAATATGAGTGTATCTCATAATAGCAAGCAATTCATAACAGAAGGAACAGAAGGTAATCCAATCCTCAACTTCTGATTTCAGATAATTAGTGCATTTCAGAAGCTCCCTATATCATATAGAAACAAAATGATATAATAATCCTCACCATTTTTATCTTCACAAGAAATTCAACGAAAATCAATCTACTCTTCAAACATTTTAACGACCATCAACAATTTTTTTTTMTTTTAGCAATTGTAGGATGGGTATCGAACCATCAACCTTAGAGATGGTAATTGGTATCTTTATCCACTCAAGCTATAAAGCTATGTTCTGATTTACACGACCAACAACAATTTAAAAAACATCTGATCCATTTGGACCTCCCAAAAGTTGTTTTACAGTACCTGAACTTTCCCTGAAGATGAAACCATCAAGACACACAACACATGCACTAGGCAGACACACATAAACATGTGGCCATGGTTTCCATTTGGAAAGTTAAGCTCATTATCATGTACAAATATGATGTTATCCAATTCCAACCCCCTCCCCTATGCCCCCGAATTCCCAAATAAGATTACTGAGGATAGAATTAAATTAAATTAAATTAGAAGTAAGATAGACCTGCTAAGATTATCATCATCTACTTTTCCAAGTCGAGCAACAATGCCCAACACATCCTTGGTGAACATGAGGTTGTAAGCCTGAATAGCATGGTGTGTGCTCAATTTACACAAAATGCCAGCAGCAGAGTTTTCCTGTCGCATAATTTGTTCCATCGTTTCCTCATCACTCTGAGGATGGGAATGAACCTCGTTTTCAGCCACAGGTGTTGTGCCAGAAGAATGATACTTGCCTAGGACAACTGAAATAACATTCTAATTGGATAAAAAAAATGAAAGAAAAGGGAATACATATAAGTCCTAACACAAATAGTGCGAGGAAAGAAAAAGTCTACACTGCATTTCTAAGAACCTATCATGTAAGAATCACACCATGCATGGAATTTGAATGTGTAGAATATTTTGGCTAATATTATATAGACCCACAAACCACATATATTATAATATCACCAAAATTAGTAGATGCATTTTAATGCAATGCTTTGCAAGACCAATGACCTTGATGGTAAATGACAAACGACCGCAAGCACTTCATATTGCCCATGTCTCTCAATTTTAGGACAAATGCACTTCCCAGCAGTTATAAATAAAATACCTTGCAAATCAAGGATGGATTCGTCAAATTTGTTTTTTTGAGTCTTGAGAAATTTAATGTTGTCCTCATGCTGTTTTATTTTCATTCCGAACGTCTGTAGATCCTCTTCAAGCTTCTGCAAGAATCAAGTCATCCTCCATGAGACTCGTAATTCACTCGCCAATTCAAGCAAACCATAGTCAACTAAGAGTCTAAAAATGCCCCCACGTTTCTGCATCATGTATTCCATATAACCGTAATCTGAAAAGCAACATATTTAGGGAGAGAAAGATCCCCCAAAAGAGTATGATAATACCTTGGAGTAGTTGATGATGTATTCTGCATGTGGGAAACCCCCATTTTGCATATCGTTCCTTACAACTAAAGACTTGTCGCCCTGATCGACTTGCATATATTGTGTAGAATCTTGGGCGGCGGGCGATGTCGGTATCCGGATAGCCAGCTGCCAGAGAGAGTAGAATTAGAGGCCAACGCCGAGGAGGAATTCAGGAAAATCACAAACAATCAAAGAACACGAGCTCTCGAGCTCCAATTTCTTCATAAATCATCATAAACTAAGGGATACAACAACAGCCCCTCACTGCGCTACTAAGTTCCCAAAAAAGGCAGGGGAAGGGGGGAAATTCAACAAGTCAGCTGCAAATTCTACTTCTACGAGTACATAAGCCTAGGAAGGAAAATTGCGCCACATTTTCACAGCAACCAAACAGACATAGTAGGAGAGAGGGAGAGAGAGAGATGCCTGCATATCGTTTGCGTGATACATGGCCGGCTGGTTCGGAAAGTGTAGAATTGAGAAAGGTCACTGCTGATATGAGTGAAGAATGAAAGAATTGGCGCCAAGGCGCTGCGGATTTCAGATATATGAATCTTCGTCTTCGTTTTCGTCTTCGTCGCTTCGGTCTGTTTTCTGTAACAGTCGAGGTCAAACGCCCAACTCGATTTGATGCTTCCTTCTCTTTCGTATTTTTTGTTTTCTTTCTTTCTTTTAATGTTTAGGTTAAAATGTTATTTTCGACGGGAAATTGACCAAATTGACCGAATGACCCACCCAAAATTATTTTTTTCTACCCAAAACAACTTTTTATGACATGTTAGTACAGGTGAAAGTGCAAAATTATCCTTAATATAATTTTAAAAACTTTAAAAGTTTGAACAGAAAAATTCGACTAATAGAGGTCGAAGTCAATTTAAATTAATATATACTAACTGTCATAATATACATGAATTTATCTATGGTTCGGTGGTGTGAATGTAAACCTTTCACTTAATATGTACGTGTTCAATTCTTATTCAAGGCAGGTTTCAAACAAAGAAAACGACTTTCACATAAAAGAAGAGCTTTCAATATTTCAGACGCTTTCAGTGTTCAAGAAAATAGAAGACGGAGATGAAAAAACGAAAAAGGAGAAGAAGAGAAAGAGGGGAAAATGGGGAGGGAGAAATCTTTTTTGACTTGAGGGGTACAAATATAATTTCAATTATTTTTAAATTAATTAAAATAGTCCAATAGTTAGAAAAAACCATTTTTGAGAGTGGGTTATTCGAGTAAAACGAAAACTAGCCGGTTCATAATTTCTCATTTTTTATGGATTTCTATATTATAAAATATTGGCTTTAATTTTGGGAAATTGGGCTAAACGACTTTAGTTCAAGGGACCGCATTTTGGAAAATTTATTATTCTAATATGGGGTTGTGTGTAAAAAAATTACTTTTTCGTCATTTATTTATTTCTTCTTACCGGTACACAATTTAATTTCCACTTTTTTTCTTTTTGTTACTTTTCTTCCTTCATTTTTATTATTTACGTTTTGTCATCTATCTTCATTATTTTTTCTTTTTTTTTAAATAAAAAATTTCAATTGATATTTTTTTCGTTTTCCTTATTTTTCTCTAAATTCACATTCAAAATATTTCATTCTAATTTTATAAAATTGCTAACTAATTTAATTCACACCATCTTCCTAATCTACTACAGATAGAAAGACCCTATGAAGCTTCACTGTTCCCTAAAATTGACTTTGGGCCTTTCCTGCACAGCTTAGGTAGAGGGTGAAGAAGGTCCCCTTCCGAGGCCCGAGCCATCAGTGAGATACCACTCTAGAAAAGCTAGAATTCTAACCTTGTGTCACGACCTACGGGCCAAGGGACAGTCTTAGGTAGACAGTTTCTATGGGGCGTAGGCCTCCCAAAAGGTAATGGAGGCGTGCAAAGGCTTCCTCGGGCCAGACGGAGATTGGCCCTCGAGTGCAAAGGTAGAATGGAACTTCAGCCGTCGAGTTTTAAAATCATAACTCAAATATTTCAATCTTCAACTCTTTTTTGCCATTCTTGGTTTGAATTTTATTTCTTTTTTTTCTTATGTTGAGTTGTATTATTTTATTCCATTTTTTTAAGTCATTGATTCATTTTAATTCCTGTACTATGAAAATGTTCATTTTGGTCCCTATACTTTTTAACTTTGATTCATTTTAATTCTTATATTTTGAAAATTTTCATTTTGGTACGTATACTTTTAAAAAGTGATAATTTTAGCCTCTCTCTACAAAATTTTAACTCAATTTTTTATAAATAACAGAAACTCTTTTGTATAAAGTAATGTTTATATTTTAAGAAATATATTTATCGTAGCGTTGTATTGAAATTGTGATAGAAAAAAATGAGATTAAAAACAAAATTAAGGGACTAAAATGCTCACTTTTTAAAAGTACAGGGAACAAAATGAAAATTTTTCAAAGTACAAAACAAAAATGAACCAAAGTTGCATTTTGAAAGTACATGGACCAAATTGAACCAAGATGAAAGTAGAGAGTCCAAACTAGTATTTTAATCTTTTAAAAATAATTATTTTGGTCCCAATCTTTTTTATATAAATTATGTACATGATAAAAATCATTTTATTGTAACTATTGAGCTATTTAGCAAAAGAGAGTATAACTCAATAGTAATTGACAGATATCTTCGTCCTCTGATTTCATATATATGTATTCGTGCTTGTGGCTTGTCTTAATCCTCCCATTTTGATTCAATTAAATCGAATATAGAAAATATCAATAAAATCTCGCTAGTATAGAGGTAATATTAATAATAAATATTTTTAACTCATTTTAAAAAATGTAAGATACGTATATGTGAATTTAAATATATATTCTTTTTCCTTAAATATTCATAGACTTTGACATGATGTTTTTATAAAATTGGGATATATACATTTTACATTTAAAATCTTACTTTAAACCAAAACTTTATTTTATTTTACTTAGACTTTATGCTCAAATTAGGTTTTTTTCTTTCTTCTTTTTCAGTTGGGATAAGAATTCGAATTCATGACCTTTTGATGGGAGATAGACATCTTATTCTTAGCTAATTTAGTTATACTCAACTTTACTAGTGGTGTCGAATAGATTTCCAATCTTTACATTTGTGTCAAATAAACTCACAGTCTATTAGACACTTTTTGTCAAATTCAGAACGAAAGACAAATTTTAAGTTTAGAGTTCATTCATCAAGGAACATGAACCCCAAGAAAATTTATCACCATCTCAAGAGATAAACTATAAGAAAATGAGTGAGTTGTCTTAACCACTGATCTAAGCTCATGTTGTCCTCTCTAGAGATAAACTTGACAGTTGATACATCATCTTTATTTAAATCAATAAGAACTAGAAATATGAGGACTCGTTTAGTAATATCATGTTTTTTTTATTTATCATCTATTCATTTTTAGTAAATGAAAATATAATTGTGTTCGATAACTGTTATTGTTTTTTTTAATTAAAAAAATGCTAAAAAACATATTTGATATTATTTTTTTGTTTATTTATTAAACAATAATGATAATGATGCATATAGTTATTAAAACAAATAAATAACGAGGGAACAAAAAGTATATTTGAACTTTTTGCTTTGGTAAAATATTTCTTTTCTTCTTTTTTTTTTTTGCTACAATTTATCCTTTTGTTCATAATAGTAGTAATTTTCAAAATAAAGACGTAAACTTTATACAACTATCATGGTGTGGCTTAGTGGTCAATAATGACCAACATAAATAGCAAAGTGCTCAGAGATTTAATATCCTAACTGGCCCAGACACTCACAAGTATAAGGAAAAAAAAATGTAAGCTTTATAGTAAAGATGGGATACTATTTTTTTTTCATCATGCTAGGGTGGGATTCAAATATATCTTCAAACTTTTATATAGGTCATTATACAGAAGATGTGATATAGCTAGGACCTTTTTGGTTAGAAATAGGTACTCAATTGTGCTATCGATGGAGATCTTCAAATTCATGACCTTTTGGTAAAAAATAACTCACGTTGGATCCACACGATTGACCTGGATCAAGTCTCCACACGAATGACCTGGATCAAGTCATTTGTAACTATTATAAAGTTGGTCATATCCATAGTGTTACCAGGATAAGGTACCCAACCTTATCCATATACTATATGTTGAGTGTGTTGCCCTAACCTCGTAGTTTGTATTTCGTGTAAAAACAAATGTATATTCAATAAAGTTTTATTCAATAAATTTGTTGTTGAATTCATAGCATTGCATTGTCCAAAATCCAATAAACTAAACATCCAAGGTTATTTTAATATAATCGGGATAGTATATATACTGAGTATATATTTGATATACCCCCCCATATACGAGGTATATATTTGATATACCCCTAATATACAAGTGGATAATGTCCCGTGAATAACCTAAAGGGTCTATAGTATATGGATAAGACTGGGTACCTTATCCTGACAACACTATGGATACGACCCACTTTGTAAATGTTACAGACGACTCGATCCAAGTCGTTCGTGTGGAGACATGCGAGTGGGGTATCCTGTACAATGAGTTTGTATAAAACCGGACTGCGAAATAGACAATCTTTAGATGTAACGCCGTTGATTAACAGATTTTTATTTCATAGAATGACCAAACAACTCATTCTCAATCCTGAGTGAGTTATAGACTCCTGCCCTGAGGGCTCGTCCTTTGATTTGTATGGGTGAGAGTGGCCCAAGTTGCCGACTCAATATTCCTACCATTTTGGGGACGAGACCGAGTAAGGAGCTGGGAACATAACTTCACAAGATGAAATTCACTCCTCTCAGACTTTAGGGGAGTAGATGAGTGTTCTCTTAAATGCTGACTCTGGGACTTGAACAAAGGGTCTCACCCTCTCATTGGCCCGAGAGGGACTTCCGGTTATTGGTCGGACCATAACCGGGTTGTTCATTAGAAGAGCAATGGTATTTAAGGAGTAAGATGTAACTCAAGGGTAAAACGGTAATTTGACCCAAGTTGAGTTACGAGCACTCGTGAAGGATTAACTTGTCATTAATGGTCGTATATCTGTGGACACGAAAACATTCTGCAGTGAGAAGAGTGCAACTGCGGGTCTTTAGTAGAGTGACTCGTAGTTAATGAATGTTGATTAACTCGGTCAATGAGTTTGACCGATTAATCTCATATCGTTGGAGCTTCTGATCTGTAAGTCCATTAGGTCTCTTTACTAGCTCACAACGGGTAAAACGAGGATCAAGAATTATGAAATAATTTGAAATGTTCAAATTATATAAGGGATTATATGTATATTGATACATTATAATATATAGTTAATTCTAAATTAAAACTATATATTATGAGAGAAATTATTTGAATGAGATTCAAATAAAATTAATATGAAAAAGATTCATATTAAAACTATAGGTTAAAAATAATGTGTATAAGATGTACATTAGAACTATAGGTTATACGAGAGAAATGTTATAGAATATGATTCTATTTATGTGATAAATAATTAAGAGTTAATTATTTGATATATATATATATATGTAAATTAATTATTAATTAGATTAATAATTAATTAATATGATTAATTAATTAATTAATTAATTATATATATATTAATTATTAATATTAATATTAATATTAAACTCCCCTGCAAAACTGCAAGGGAG